TAAAAAAGGGGAAAGAACAGACTGCGGAAACTATCGAGGTATCTCCCTTCTAACCTCCGCTGGGAAAATCCTCGCAAGAATCCTTGCAAACCGCCTTCTGCCCCTCTCAGAAGACACCCTCCCAGAATCCCAAAACGGCTTCCGCCCCTCCAGAGGAACCGTGGACATGATCTTCACTGCACGACAGCTCCAAGAAAAATGCAGGGAACAAAATCAACCTCTGTACATGGCATTCATTGACCTTGCAAAGGCATTTGACACAGTGAATCGCAGTGCTCTCTGGACCATCCTCTAAAAAATCGGGTGCCCTAACAAATTTGTGAACATCCTGCGGCTCCTCCATGATGACATGATGGCAACAGTCTTGGACAGCAATGGCTCCCAAAGTGACCCATTTAAGGTGGAATCGGGTGTCAAACAGGGATGTGTTATTGCCCCAACTTTATTCTCCATCTTCATCGCTATGATACTTCACCTTGTTGATGGGAAGCTTCCCACCAGAGTGGAAATCATCTATCGGACAGATGGCAAGCTATTCAACCTCAGCAGACTGAAAGCCAAAACCAAGGTTACAACAACATCTGTTATAGAACTCCAGTATGCTGATGACAATGTCGTCTGTGCGCATTCAGAAGAAGATCTACAAGCCACTCTAAACACCTTTGCAGAAGCATACGAGAAGCTCGGCCTGTCATTGAACATTGAGAAAACCAAGGTGCTGTTCCAGCAGTCACCAGCCAATCCCTCTCCAATGCCAGTGATACAGCTTAATGGTGTAACATTAGAAAATGTTGATCATTTCCGCTACCTTGGCAGCCACCTCTCCACCAAAGTCAACATTGATGCCGAAATACAACACCGCCTGAGCTCTGCAAGTGCAGCATTTTCCAGAATGAAGCAGAGAGTGTTTGAGGACCGGGACATCCGTAGGGATACCAAGGTGCTTGTTTATAAAGCTATTGTCCTCCCAACCCTGCTATATGCCTGTGAGACGTGGACTGTCTACAGACGTCACATGCAGCTCCTGGAACGTTTCCATCAGCGCTGCCTCCGGAAAATCCTGCAAATCTCCTGGGAAGACAAGCGGACAAACGTCAGTGTGCTGGAAGAAGCAAAGACCACCAGCATTGAAGCGATGGTCCTCCAACATCAACTCCGCTGGACCGGCCACGTTGTCCGGATGCCTGACCACCGTCTCCCAAAGCAGTTGCTCTACTCCGAACTCAAGAACGGAAAACGGAATGTTGGTGGACAGGAAAAGAGATTTAAAGATGGGCTCAAAGCCAACCTTAAAAACTCTGGCATAGACACTGAGAACTGGGAAGCCCTGGCCCTTGAGCGCTCCAGCTGGAGTCAGCCGTGACCAGCAGTGCTGCAGAATTTGAGGAGGCACGAGTGGAGGGTGAAAGAGTGAAACGTGCCAGGAGGAAGGCGCGTCAAGCCAACCCCGACCGGGACCACCTTCCACCTGGAAACCAATGCCCTCACTGCGGAAGAAGATGCAGAACAAGAATAGGGCTCCACAGCCACATACGGACCCACAAGGAAATCCATAAATGGAAGACCATCTTACTCGTCCAACGAGGGATCGCCTAAGTAAGTAAGTAATGATCATGTGGCTGGCATGACTGTATTGAGCGCCGATACCTTCCCACAGAAGCAGTACCTATTGATCTACTAACATTTGCATGTTTTCAAACTCCTAGGATGGCAGAAGCTGGACCTAACAGCGGGAGCTCACCCTGCTCCCCAGATTCAAAGTGCTGACCTTTCAGTCAGCAAGTTCAGCAGCTCAGCAGTTTAACACTATACATACACACACATTCATTCAAGTCACTGATGGCTGAATCTCTGGATATTAATTATTACTATGACACATCCTTCTTTGGGCCAGAGACCACCTTTTTAGATGCATAACTGATCAGCCGGATGACTGAGTGTATATGCCAAGAGTTAAAGAAAGGAAGAAGAGACTGAGAAGTGTATTATATTAAATGAAGCCAAAAACTTAAACAATGCAAGAGATCATAGAGTTGGAAGAGGCCACAAGGACCATCCAGTCCAATCCCCAAGTTACAATATTATGCAGAGCACAAAACAAATCAATCTGTTTGCTTAATCCTTTTAGACTAAACCTCTGATTTTTGTGTTTAAATACAGGAATGAGTACGACAATACCATCCTCATCCTGGATGCTTTGAAGGTTACAGCTAACATTGTCTTTGGATATGCCACGTAAGGAAATTATTTGAACTTTGTACATTTTTTAGATGTGTCTCCTGCTTTAGTTAAAAAAAAGGACAGTGTGATAGTTTATTCTGACCTACTAAGAAAATCATCTATTGACCTTTCAAGGAAAGAGATGAATAATGTATGAAACACAATTTGCTTGTAGCTATAGCAAGAGTTTGTGCTCATTTTTAGTCATTACAAACATATGGATAAATTTGCACTCCTCATTATCATATACATTTTGTATGGTGTATAGTGAAGATGCACCATGGAGTATCTTTCCGTAATGGATAGGCCTCTGCTGATACCCTGTTCTTGATGGATGTGGGCATAGGTGGAACCCATGCCTCTGTGTGTTTTGTAGAGTTGTTGCTGGGTTTGGAATTGTCTACCTCTTGTGCAATGATTACAAATCTCAGAAAACCCCACTGTTTTCATGCTACCTTTCCCCAACATAGCCACATAGTGACTGGTGAAGAAAGGGGACAACAGAATATCTGCCTGTCAATTTGTTGTCAGACACAAAACAATGAAGATACCTTTTGGACCTTCTCGGGGCTTCCAGAGACACTGGGAGATCATTATCATTGTGTATCTGGTTATGGGACTATAGCAGAAGGCATAATTATAACATCATCCTCTAGGACCTCCAAGGACCTATGCGAAGTCTCAGCAGATGCCTTCATCACTTGGCTATAATAACATAGCCAGATTCTACTTGGGTATCACCTCATCTGTACCATTCACTACATGGTCGTATTGAGGGGGATGTAGCTTGAAAAATACTGGGTTTCAGGCACAAAAGACATGAAAAATCATGGTGTTCCTCTTAGTGGAGCTTTACACTATGATACCATGATGCAAGATGTGTCATTACTGTTTTACAAAATGAAAGTAAAAACAGAGAGAATTTGATAAATCCCATCTATCCAAGTCTTACAATTAGTAGAGCGAATATAACTTGAGTTCTTTATATACTTATATGAGAGTAAGGCTTGTTGAAATCAGAGTCCCATGTGTGCTTTACAGTAGGAAGATTATTATTTGTCATCACAGGTATTCAGCATTATAGGAATTTAGAAGTACAGTGAGACCTGCATATCTGTGGGGATAAGGAGATATGTTGCTGACTGGACTATAGTTACCATACACCACAGATATGACCAAATGCCATTAGATTATCTGACTTCTGGTCCCAGCATACCTAGGAATTTTCTAAGTTCTCCAGTGCAACTTTATGGTAACTTGCAGAATAGACTATAGAATTATCTGGAGAATGTAGCAGATTCCTAGAGAGATGCTTCCCCCCCCCCCCCCCCACAAAGAAATGGATAAATGAAATTGCAGTTATGGAGCAATCCCTACTATCTGCTTCAACAAGCCAACTGGGGTTCCTAGACCATGCTGGCTAGCCCCATTCCAACCATATTCCATTGACTGTGCCTCCCCAGCATTTTAAATCCACCTAAGAAGGTTCTCCATGCGGTCATTAATTAAGAACTTCTCCAAGTCATGGAAAGAGCCTGGTGTAATTATGATCTCTCAAGTAGGGAAACATCTCCACACCTATATGGCAGATGGGACATCCACATGAGACAATAGCACTAGCAGAGGGGTTCTCATGGAGGGTTATTTTGGATTATAGGAAGCTGTTTCTTCAGCAGATAGAATGTGACCTGGATCCAGGTTTTATCTCTGCTGTGGATTTACTGTGTGTCCTTGAGAAAAATGCTATTTTCCAACCTATAAAGATAGAGTTCCTGGCAAATTCAGCACTGTGTTGGCAGAGTGCAAATTTGTCTGCAAGCTTTATCGAGACCTTGAACTAAAATGTAGATGATGCTTACTGGAGTGTCTTGCAAATATTTGATGATTTGTAAACTGTGCTATGGAATCTAATTTTTCACTTGCTATAAAGCTCTTTTTAATGATGATTATTTAGATTTGCTTAGCTGTACTCTACTGCTGTGCCTCCATCCACCCTGCAAATACTGTTTTGCTGTTAAAATGTATTTTAAAGATGCCAAGGAGCAGAAGCATTTGAAATTCAGCAGTCTGGATTATCCAATGGGATTTTTGTGAAGTTTTTGAAGGAACGTTTATTGGAGGACAAGAAGATTACGGTTCTTCTTGATGGTGTGGCAGAAGGTGAGAGAAAACTGTGAAAAGTAAAGAAGGAAAACTTTGGATTCACTATAATTGTGCAATTTAAAAACTATAGCTGAGAAGGGTCAAAACCCAATGTAAAGAAGCTGTTTGCGCAGCCCAATTTAGTTAATGCATATCAACTTTGCAAAAAAGTATTAAAACTCAACTTATACCATGGAAAGGAGTTGTGTAGTGCTATAATTGCCCAAATATCCTTAACCTTTTCCTTAGCACTTAAAATTTGCCCTTTCCAAGATGTGTTTATCACCTGGGGTATTTGTACACGTTTTAAATCTGCTTCTGGAGCCCCATGGAAAAGAAACACTTAGGAGAGAACAGAGAGCTTCACAGAGAAAATTGTTGATGGGAAAATAATATGTGTATACATCCTGTCACTTCTCTGCTGAAATTCAATCTGTTAAAGTTATTGTTGTGCTGTGTTTTATGATCTTCAGCTTTGTTTTGTTTTGTGGAGTAAAGGAAAAGAGCCTTCTAAAGTTATGTTTTAGACTACAACCCTCATAATCCTCTAACTCAGATGTTCTCAACATGTGGGTCCCCACGTGTTTTGGCCTTCAACTCCCAGAAATCTCAACTAGTTCACCAGCTATTAGGATAGTGCGATTTTATTTTATGGTTAAACCCTTGTGCCAGCAGGACTGAAGACTGACAGGTCGAAGGTTCGAATCCAGGGAGAGCATGGATGAGCTCCCTCTGTCAGCTCCTGCTTCCCATCAAAACATCCAAATGTCCCCTGGGCAACATCCTTGAAGACAGCCAATTTTCTCACACCAGAAGCGACTTGCAGTTTCTCAAGTCACTCCTGATACGGAAAGAAAAAAATATTTTTAATTGTAATTGTTTATTTTATTATATGTGTGTATGGCATCAAATTGCTGCCTGTTGTAAGGCTGCCCTGAGTCCCCTTCCAGGTGAGAAGGGTGAGGTATAAATATTGTACACAAATAAATAAATAAATAAATAAATAAATTTCTGGGAGTTGAAGGCCAAAATATCTGGGGACCCACAGGTTGAGAACTACTGCTCTACCTGGTACAGCCATGGGAGTTGTAACTCTTCCAAATCTGCAAAGGAACAATGAATTTGCTCTTTTATATTCCTTAATTTTTTCATTTTGCCTCCATTCACTTTCCTCATTTTCCTTGGGGTGCTGCTTCTTTGGCATTATTTCTTATACTTGAAAGGGCTTCTTGATTGCCTGATCTCAGATAATCAGAAAATCTAAAACAAACATATTAATGTTGTCAGCGCCATGAGCCAATCATATTTGAAGTCAAGATTTTTCAAAAGTAATTGTGTGTGTGTGTGTGTGCAAGGGAAGGTTCTGATCTGCCTAACGACAAAGGCATACAAAAGATGGGGGAATATATTGAGAATATCATTATTGCCATGATTCTTAAAATATATAGATCATATTGAATGTGAACCATTTATGTGTGCACACATGTGTCTGTGCGGTCTGGCTCATGTGGAAGAACTTGCACAGCATGTTCCACTGTCCCGAATCTTAAATAGCCAGGCTTAAATGCCCCTTCAAAATCAGGTTTGTCATGGAAACGCTGACACACTTATAACCATAGCAACATAGTGGCACTGCTGGGATATAGGTGCTTTAATTAGCATTTTCAGCAGCTTTGATTCCTAGAAAATGATTTGTATCTTTTATTTTTAGATATGGGCAAGTGTCACCTTACCAAAGGCAAGCAGGCTTTGGAGATTCGCAGCAGTTTATCTGAGAAGAGGGCATTAACTGATCCTATTCAGCAAACCGTAACCTCAGCAGAGGCATTGGCACGGAATCTGCAGTGGGCAAAAGCACATGGTAAATACAGGAAGTAAATATGGGAATACGCCGCTTAATTAGTTGAGCTAAACCGCTCCCATTCCAGGAGCAATGAATCACAGTATTGTGCATATATTAAAATTCTAGGTATTCCTTCTGTCTTCTCCTTGCTCTGTTGTCATACAGATTTTCTACCATCCCTCTCCCTGTGCAGTTTTGCTGCTGATGCATGAGAGACAGATAACATAGCATTTGAACTGATGCATATCTTAAATGGAGCAATTGGAGAGAGTGGGCTGAAAGTGTATGTGTGTACATGCACACTATGCATACATGTGCAAATGGAAGAAGGACAAGACAAGGAGGGATCAGATCAAAGGGAACATATTTATTTATTTACCATGTCAGGAGCAAACCAAACAGTTGTATTGTATTTTTAACAAACAAACAAACAAACAAACGAAACACAAAGTTTGCAAGCTTGGTAGTTGATTAAATGTCTTTTGACCAGTAGCTGGCCACTTAGATTGACTCTGGTGTTACTATAAGAAGGTCCTTCATTGTGCATGTGGCAGGATTCAGGTTGCATTGCAGTAGGTGGTCTGTAGTTTGCTCGTCTCCACACTCGCATGTCGTAAATTCCACTTTTCTTAAGATTGGCTCTGCATCTCATGGTGCCAGAGCGCAGTCTGTTCAGCACCTTCCAAGTCGCCCAATTTTCTTTGTGCCCAAGAGGGAGTCTCTCATTTGGTATCAGCCATTGGTTGAGGTTCTGGGTTTGAGCCTGCCACTTTTGGACTCTTGCTTGCTGAGGTATTCCAGCGAGTGTCTCTGTAGATCTTAGAAAACTATTTCTTGATTTAAGTCATTGACATGCTAGCTGATACCCAAACAGGGGGTGGGCTGGAGATGTCACTGCCTTGGTCCTTTCACTGTTGGCTGCTACTTCCCTGTGGATGTCAGGTGGTGCAATACCGGCTAAACAGTGTAATTTCTCCAGTGGTGTAGGGCACAGACACCCCGTGATAATGTGGCTTGTCTCATTAAGAGCCACATCTATTGTTTGAGCGTGGTGATATGTGTTCTATACTGGGCATGCATACTCAGCAGCATGCCACCAGCTCTTTTTCCTTCTTAGCTTGGCGCAGGGGTCTTTTTAAGTGGGGTGGGGGCTGTTCACAGTTCCTCAGACTGTTGGGGGTGGACGAAGTATAGTTTGGAAAAAAATGAATTGATTCCTATACACACAGCACATATCTTATCTGTAATACAAAAAAAAATCAAATGCAAAACAATATTTAAAATGAAGAACAATTTTCACCAACGTGAACTTACCATCTTTCAATGGGAAGTGTGGGCCTACTTTTGGATGATGAAATAGTCAAGTTAATTAGGATTGTTGTTGCATGCCTTCAAGTAATTTCAGACTTAGGGCAAACTAAGTCTAAAGTTTAAGGCAGGAGCCAGGTAAATGACCTTGGAGGGCCGCATCCGGTCCACGGACCTTAGTTTGGGGTTAACTGCTGTTAAGTTGATGCTTTAAGTCATGCATTTTGTTAAATAAAGGGTGTAATTTTTTTAGTAATTTACTGATATTTTAGAAGAGAAAGTGGATGGTAAATAAATAGCAGCAAGGTATGATCTGTGCAAGATAGATGAGGCAGTTTTGAAGATCTAGTAACATCTGTTTCTCTAGTGGAGCCTCCGGTGGTGCAATGGGTTAAACCCTTGTGCCAGCAAGACTGAAGGCTGACAGGTTGTGGGTTCAAATCCAGGGAGAGCACAGATGAGCTCCCTCTATCAGCTCCAGCTTTCTATCCGGGGACATTAGAGAAACCTCCCACAAGGATGGTAAAAAATCAAAACATCAGAGTGTCCCCTGGACAACATCTTTGCAGGCAGCCAATTCTCTCACACCAAACGCGACTTGCAGTTTCTCAAGTCACTCCAGACACACACAAAAATCAATCTGTTTCTCTTACTTTTGGTGGGAACACAGGGGTAAAAATGTATTCCCAAATAAATAAGGAGAATGGAGAGATAAGCCAACCTAGCTCCAAAACCTGATTCTTGTGAAGAGACCATCCATAATGACAGTCAGTAGAAATTGGGCAGCAGGATGGACAGAAAGGTTTGCCCAAGCCGTGTATCAAGCAGACTCTTATTTTTTTCCATCCCTTCACTTGAAAGCTGTTCCTCTGAAGATTTCATTCAAATAAAGGAGAGAAACATATTTGACATTCAAAAACTCTCCATGAACTTTATAAGAATTCCTACTTAATTGCTAAAGGGGAACTTAACTGCAGTAAACGTTATATGAATTAACAAAGGCATAATTAATTTTTACCTACTATGAGAAAGTGGCTGGGCTGAGATTTAATGTGATTAGATTTAATGTGGCAAACTAACAAATTGCCATGAATGTGTTTACAAACTGAATGGATGGATTTAAACTGGTGAATGCTATCATCTAGCGGTCAAATGTACAAATTGCAAGAGGAGGCTCAGGGAAGTGGGATTTGTTAAGGTTTTATATATCAAATGTTGTCGTAGTAGGAAAACATTAAAGATACAGTTCTCTCAAGCTGAAATTGCAGAGTTCTGGCAACAGTGATTTGGAGGATTTTAGATTGATGGAGGATTTTAAAAATTACAGAGCAAGATTCCACCAGAAATTTGGATCAAAAGAAGTGGTTGAAAATGAAGACAGCTCTTAAATTACAGCTTCAGAAAAGATAATTAATCATAGAATCATAGAGTTGGAAGAGACTTTGTGGGCCATCTAGTCCAACCCCCTACCAAGAAGCAGGAAAATCACATTCAAAGCACACCCAACAGATGGCCATATGTTCCAAGCCTCTGTTTAAAAGCTTCCAAAGAAGGAGCCTCCACCACACTCCGGGGCAGAGAGTTCCACTGCTGAACAAGCTTTCACAGTTATGAAGTTCTTTCTAATGTTCAGATGGAATCTCCTTTAATGTAGTTTAAAGCCATTGTGTCACGTCCTAGTCTCCAGAGCAGCAGAAAACAAGCTTGCTCCTTCCTCCCTATGACTTCCCCTGATGCATTTATATATGGCCCTCATGATGTCTCCTCTCAGCCTTCTCTTCTGCAGGTTAAACATGCCCAGCTCTTTAAGTCGCTCCTCATAGGGTTTGTTTTGCAGAACCTTGATCATTTTAGCTACATTCCAACTTAAGTGTCAGCATCTCCTTTAAATTGCAGTGCCCAGAATTGGACACAGTATTCCAGGTGTGATCTGACCAAGGCAGAATAGAGAGGTAGCACAACTTCCCTGGATCTAGACACTAGACTCCTATTTATGCAGGCCAAAATTTCATTGGCTTTTTTTTTTGTCACCACATGACATTGTTGGCTCATGTTTAACTTGATGTCCACAAGGACTCCAATATCTTCCCCCATTCTGAATCATTGTATTTCATATATTTCTGCCTAAGTGGAGTATCTTGCATTTGTCACTGTTGAACTTCATTGTGTGAGTTTTGGCCAATCATAGAATATAGAATCATAGAATCAAAGAGTTGGAAGAGACCTCATGGGCCATCCAGTCCAACCCCCTGCCAAGAAGCAGGAATATTGCATTCAAATCACCCCTGACAGATGGCCATCCAGCCTCTGTTTAAAAGCTTCCAAAGAAGGAGCCTCCACCACACTCCGGAGCAGAGAGTTCCACTGCTGAATGGCTCTCACAGTCAGGAAGTTCTTCCTCATGTTCAGATGGAATCTCCTCTCTTGTAGTTTGAAGCCATTGTTCCGCGTCCTAGTCTCCAGGGAAGCAGAAAACAAGCTTGCTCCCTCCTCCCTGTGGCTTCCTCTCACATATTTATACATGGCTATCATATCTCCTCTCAGCCTTCTCTTCTTCAGGCTAAACATGCCCAGCTCCTTAAGCCGCTCCTCATAAGGCTTGTTCTCCAGACCCTTGATCATTTTAGTCGCCCTCCTCTGGACACATTCCAGCTTGTCAATATCTCTCTTGAATTGTGGTGCCCAGAATTGGACACAATATTCCAGGTGTGGTCTAACCAAAGCAGAATAGAGGGGTAGCATTACTTCCCTGGATCTAGACACTATGCTCCTATTGATGCAGGCCAAAATCCCATTGGCTTTTTTTGCCGCCACATCACATTGTTGGCTCATGTTTAACTTCTTGTCCACGAGGACTCCAAGATCTTTTTCACACGTACTGCTCTCGAGCCAGGCGTCACCCATTCTGTATCTTTGCATTTCATTTTTTCTGCCAAAGTGGAGTATCTTGCATTTGTCACTGTTGAACGTCATTTTGTTAGTTTTGGCCCATCTCTCTAATCTGTCAAGATCGTTTTGAATTCTGCTCCTGTCCTCTGGACTATTGGCTATCCCTCCCAATTTGGTGTCGTCTGCAAACTTGATGATCATGCCTTCTAGCCCTTCATCTAAGTCATTAATAAAGATGTTGAACAGGACCGGGCCCAGGACGGAACCCTGCGGCACTCCACTTATCACTTCTTTCCAAGATGAAGAGGAAGCATTAGTGAGCACTCTCTGTGTTCGTCCACTTAACCAATTACAGATCCACCTCACTGTAGTTTTGCCTAGCCCACATTGGACTAGTTTCCTTGCCAGAAGGTCATGGGGGACCTTGTCGAAGGCCTTACTGAAATCCAGGTACGCTACATCCACGGCATCATCTCTCTAATCTGTTAAGATTGTTTTCAATTCTGCTCCTGTCTTCTGTAGTATCCCTCCCAATCTGGTGTTGTCTGTAAACCTGATGTTACTTCTATATTAGTAAGTTCTATATTTTTTCTGTCTTTATTGTGTATCTTTATGATAATGTGTGTAATCCTTTTTCTTTTTGATAGTCTATACTTTGTATTTGGTGTATTTGATTTTATTTGAATGGTATAAAACGATTTACCAAAAAATCTGTCTTCTTATGTAGATTGAAATGTTTTTGTTTTGACTATTAAAATAAATTTCATAATGACATGGTAGCTAGTGATTAATTAGTATAAGGAAAGATAGTACAGCTAATTTTGAAAGAGAGCCATGCTGTACCTTTTTTAATCAAATGCCTTGCTTTCCAGAACTTCCTGAAAGTATGTGCCTTCAGTTTAATTGCGGTGTCCAAATTCAGCTGGGTTTTGCTGCAGAATTCTCCAATGTGATGATTGTCTACACAAGGATAATTAAGAAACCACCTGAAATTACAGTGTGCAATGCATATGTGACAGATTTTCCTCTTGTAAGTTGGTGTCATGAGGCTTTGCGGCATCCTTTCTTTTAAGATGATGAAAATAAATCAAGTCAACACAGTAGCCTCAAAGCTTAAATTTTATCATTTGGTCTTAAAAGGTTTTTGGGGAAAAGAGATGTCCTACTATTGATCAGTCAGGGATAGGCAAGTGTCTGGCTTGCAGGATCCACTTTATTTTCATATCAAAATTCCCCTTTGTCAGAGCTGTTTCCTTGACTTCAAGGAGTGGAAATTGAAGGCCCACTACAACTAGTGGCCACATCCATCTAGGAGTTGATGGACTTGCTGGCATTTCCACCTTTCTCCTCCTTGATTCAGCAGGTTGTGGGAACATCTTTCTTATCTCTCTCTTTTTAAAGTCAAAATGAAATATATTGCTCAGATGTCCTTATTTGTTTCCTCTCTGTTGTTGTGCTGTTCTTCTATTTTGACTTAGGTGATGGTTGGAGTTTTTATATAGACATCTATCTGTGTGTGTGGGTTTTCTCTAAATGGTGTGTCCCAATTGTTGATCTGGTTTGTGGATGACTAGGACATCTAGAAAAGGCAGTCTTCCTTCATTTTCTTTTTCCATGACGAATGGGATGTTTGGGTGGATGCTGTTCAGATGGTAAAGGAACCTGTTTAGTTCTTCTTCTCCATGGCTCCAAATGGTGAAAGTGTCATCCACATATCTGAACCATATAGTGGGCTTTTTGGTTGCGTGTGGACAATTTCAACAGAAAGGGGGAAACCATGAAAATGAACAAAATCTGGCTACCAGTATTAAAAAAAACTCTAAAATTAGAACAGCACAACAACAGAGAGGAAACAAACAAGGACATCTAATCACCTCTCAACAAAATATTGCTCCAGGCACTGCCAGGCAATCAAATGCTAATCAAGGTGGTCAGTTGAAACATTCACACCTAGCTCCAGCAGACAAGAGTCCTTTGTCCCACCCTGCTCATTCCACAGATATATAAACCCTTTTTCCTAGTTCCAATAGACCTCACTACCTCTGAGGATGCTTGCCATAGATGCAGGCAAAATGTCAGGAGAAAATGCCTTCAGAACATGGCCATATAGCCCGAAAAAACCTACAATAACCCAGTCATATTCCCTGCTCTCTTGCAAATACCACTTGCACAAAGATGAACTGTAAAGAACTGGAACATGGCTGTCATCTTTAAAAAGAAATTAAGCTTGAGCCATATGATAAAATAACACATTCACATTCTTAGAAATACGAGCAATGTCATAATCACAAGGCCACATCTCCTGGACATTGTTAAAAGTTGGCAGAAGCCATTAGGTTTGAGCATTATCAAACTTTGATGCAAATATGATTTATCACATGGCTAGTTAAAGCATTTATCTTGCTCCAGTCATCCCTTTTGCCCACTAGTATGGATTTAAACAAAAGACCGTGCACTTAGAATCATAGAATCAAAGAGTTGGAAGAGACCTCATGGGCCATCCAGTCCAACCCACTGCCAAGAAGCAGGAATATTGCATTCAAATCACCCCTGACAGATGGCCATCCAGCCTCTGTTTAAAAGCTTCCAAAGAAGGAGCCTCCACCACACTCCGGGCAGAGAGTTCCACTGCTGAACGGCTCTCACAGTCAGGAAGTTCTTCCTCATGTTCAGATGGAATCTCCTCTCTTGTAGTTTGAAGCCATTGTTCCGTGTCCTAGTCTCCAAGGAAGCAGAAAACAAGCTTGCTCCCTCCTCCCTGTGGCTTCCTCTCAAATATTTATACATGGCTATCATATCTCCTCTCAGCCTTCTCTTCTTCAGGCTAAACATGCCCAGTTCCCTAAGCCGCTCCTCATAGGGCTTGTTCTCCAGACCCTTGATCATTTTAGTCGCCCTCCTCTGGACACATTCCAGCTTGTCAATATCTCTCTTGAATTGTGGTGCCCAGAATTGGACACAATATTCCAGGTGTGGTCTAACCAAAGCAGAATAGAGGGGTAACATTACTTCCCTAGATCTAGACACTATGCTCCTATTGATGCAGGCAAAAATCCCATTCGCTTTTTTTGCCGCCACATCACATTTTTGGCTCATGTTTAACTTGTTGTCCACGAGGACTCCAAGATCTTTTTCACACGTACTGCTCTCGAGCCAGGCGTCCCCATTCTGTATCTTTGTATTTCATTTTTTTCTGCCAAAGTGGAGTATCTTGCATTTGTCACTGTTGAACTTCATTTTGTTAGTTTTGGCCCATTCTCTCTAATCTGTCAAGATCGTTTTGAATCCTGCTCCTGTCCTCTGGAGTATTGGCTCTCCCTCCCAATTTGGTGTCGTCTGCAAACTTGATGGTCCTGCCTTCTAGCCCTTCATCTAAGTCATTAATAAAGATGTTGAACAGGACCGGGCCCAGGACGGAACCCTGCGGCACTCCGCTCGTCACTTCTTTCCAAGATGAAGAGGAAGCATTAGTGAGCACTCTCTCTGTTCGTCCACTTAACCAATTACAGATCCACCTCACCGTAGTTTTGCCTAGCCCACATTGGACTAGTTTCCTTGCCAGAAGGTCATGGGGGACCTTGTCGAAGGACTTACTGAAATCCAGGTACGCTACATCCACGGCATTCCCCGCATCTACCCAGCTTGTAGCTCTATCGAAGAAAGAGATCAGATTAGTCTGGCATGACTTGTTTTTGATAAATCCATGTTGACTATTAGCGATGACTGCATTTGTTTCTAAGTGTTTGCAGACCGCTTCCTTAACAATCTTTTCCAGAATCTTGCCCGGTATCGACGTGAGGCTGACCGGACATGGGTCATTGTTTGGGTCATCCTTTTTTCCCTTCTTGAAGATTGGGACCACATTGGCCCTCCTCCAATCTGCTGGAACTTCTCCCGTTCTCCAAGAACTCTCAAAGATGGTTGCCAATGGTTCCGAAATGACTTCCGCTAGTTCCTTCAATACTCTGGGGTGTAGTTGATCTGGCCCTGGGGACTTGAACTCATTAAGAGCGGCCAGGTATTTCCCAATTAGGGGTTGGATGTCCTCCAATCCCTCATCCACTCCATCTTGCTGAGGTTGAGGACTCTCTTTTTGTGAGAAGACTGAGGCAAAGAAGGCATTAAGTAGTTCTGCCTTTTCCCTATCCCCTGTCAGCATTGCCCCATCTTCTCCTCGAAGAGGTCCTATCGCCTCCTTGTTTTTCCTTTCTCTACTGACATAAGAATAGAAGCCCTTTTTATTGTTTTTAATGTCCCTGGCAAGTCTGAGCTCGTTTTTTGCTTTAGCCTTGCGGACCTTTTCCCTACAGGTGTTGGCTATTTGTTTGAATTCTTCTTTGGTGATTTCTCCCTTTTTCCACTTCTTGTGCATGTCTCTTTTGTGTCTTAGCACAGTTAGAAGTTCTTTGGACATCCATTCTGGCTTCTTTGCACTTGTCCTATTTTTTCTCTTTGTTGGCACGGTTTGCAATTGCGCCTTGAGTATTTCACTCTTGAGAAATTCCCATCCATCCGTAGCTCCCTTGTCTTTTAGTATCTGTGTCCACGGAATGCTGCTCAGCGTTTCCTTCATTTTTTGGAAATCAGCTCTCCTAAAGTCCAAAATGCGGGTTTGACTTGTCTTAGTTTCGGCCTTCCTTTGTACCTCAAATTGCAGGAGCACATGGTCACTTGCCCCTAAGGATCCTACCACTTCGACCGCATCGATCAGGTCCTCCGCATTTGTTAGGATGAGATCAAGAGTAGCCAATCCCCTTGTTGCCTCTTCTACCTTCTGGACCATGAAATTGTCTGCAAGGCAAGCAAGGAATTTGTTGGACCTTGTACTCTTGGCCGAGTTTGTTTTCCAGCAAATATCGGGATAGTTGAAATCGCCCATGACTACTACATCTCTTCTCTGTGCCTGTTTGGTCAACTGTTGGCAGAAGACTTCATCAAGTTCTTCCTCCTGGCTTGGGGGTCTGTAGTAGACGCCTACAACGACATCTTTTTGAGTCCCAGTTCCCTTGATTCTTATCCAGATGATTTCAAGCTGGTTTCCCAGATTGCTGTCTTGAATCTCTTCTGCAGCATAGAGTTTTTGACATATAAGGCTACTCCGCCTCCTCTCCCCTTTGTTCGGTTTCTGTGAAAGAGGTTATACCCCTCGATATCTACATTCCAGCGATAGGAGTCATCCCACCAGGTTTCAGTGATGGCTATGATATCATATTTGTGGTGTTGTGCTAGAAGTTGGAGTTCGTCTTGTTTATTTCCCATGCTCTGTGCATTAGTGTAAAGACATGTGAGCCCCTGGGATCTTCCCTTGAGCTGTTTAATTGGGATTATTGTGCTTTTGGTACTTGGTCCTTGTTGTGTTTGTGCAGCCCTCCGTTTAGCCTTCTGGCAATTCCCAGACATTATGGGTAAAGTAGTGTTCGCAAGGCTGTTGTCCCCCTCCCCCGGTGGACCTAGTTTAAAGTGCGTCTAATGAGTGCGTCTATCCTGTTCATGCTCAACATCATCCTGATTATTGTCATGGCAGGCAGTTTTTTAAAATAATAATAATAATAATAATAATAATAATAATAATAATAATAATCTAATATGCTTTCAAGAGTTGATTTTTAAAAAATGGCTTTTAATATTGCACTGCTGCTTCTATTTTTAAATCTGCTGTGTATTTTAATTATACACCTTAAAATGTCTTGGTGTTATTCATAGTATAATTATATTTTAATGTTTTAGTGACAGTTGGCCCCTCGTATCTAAAGATTCAACCGTCCACAGCTTGAAAATATTCCACAGCAAAAATCCAAAAAAGCCAAACTTGATTTCTCCATTTTATATAAGGGGCATCATTTTACCACACCATTGTATATAATGGAATTTGAAAAAGGAAAAGGTAAAGGTTTCCCCTGACATTAAGTCATGTCTGACTTGGGGTGGTGCTCATCTCCATTTCTAGGCCGAAAAGCCAGTGTTGTCCGTAGACACCTCCTAGATCATGTGGCCAGCATGACTGCATGGAGTGCCATTACCTCCCCGCAGAAGGTCTACTCATTGATCTACTCACATTTGCATGTTTTTGAACTGCTAGGTTGGCAGAAGCTGGCCCTAACAGCAGGAACTCACCCTGCTTCCTGGATTCGAACTGCCAACCTTTCGGTCAGCAAGTTCAGCAGCTCAGTTTAACCCGCTGAGCCATCAGGGGGCACTTGAATTTGAATGGAACTTGAATTTTTACAGATTTTGGTATCCATAGGGAGTCCTGGAATGAAATTCTAGCAAATCGCAAGGTTGCACTGTATACTATATTTGTTTTAAATGTAAACCACTCTTTGTCCCTCTTTTGGGGGGAAAGGTGGATACAAAGGTAGCAGAGATTATAACAATGACAATTGCATCAAGACTTTTTTTCATTCATCAATGTATTGTTGTTGTATTTGGGATTCAGATATCTTTGTGGATCACCAAAAGATCTGTCAGTACATCCAGCTCTACCTTTTTCTTGTGCCAGTGGTAAACTTACAGGTTGTTTTTTTTTTTTCATCAGGATTTGGATGTGGATCCTAAAGAGGCAAATAAAGGAACTCCTGAAGAAACTGGCAGCTATTTGCTTTCAAAAGACTTACCCAAACATTGTCTCTATACTAGAATATGTTCCCTACAAAAGCTAAAGGTTAGTCTATATTACTTTTGTCTTGCAATACTGGTGCTTTATTGAGTCACAAGAATAAGATGGAACATTTTGTAACATAAACACTAGTAGCCTTCAATAACAAGGTGCCCTTTTGAAATAACCCAGTGGTGTAAAATCTTCCCATGCATCCAGCTTTTGGGGGTGAAGCCAAGGGTGTTCTGTGTGGGATGAGAAGGCCTCTTAGTTGAGGTTGCTGAATGTGGATTCTTTAATTCTTGAGAAAGTGTTGTGAATTGAATGGGAAACTGTCTTAATTTTGGAAGAAAGGGGAAGAAGAGCTACAGTAGAGTTTCACTTATCCAACCTTCGCTCATCCAACGTTCTGTATTATCCAACGCAGTCTGAGTCCTGCCCGGATCCACAGCTGTTTCAATACATTGCAATGTTTGGGTGCTAAATTCATAAATACAGTAATTACTACATAATGTTACTGTGTATTGAACTGCTTTTTCTGTTGATTTGTTGTAAAACATGATGTTTTGGTGCTTAATTTGTAAAATCATAACGTAATTTGACATTTAATAGGTGTTTCCTTAATCCTTCCTTACTATCCTACATTTTCGCTTATCCAACGTTCTGCCGACCCGTTTATTTTGGATATGTGGGAGACTACTGTACTTTGTTTTCTTGCTCCATTTCAAAACTAACCAAAGCAAAACAAATGGGAACTTTAGTTACTACCCTGCTATGTAACCAGGATAAGAAACTGCTTGGAATATAAAAATGAATTGTAAAGAAATTGTTTTCATCTGTATAAAACTGTGCGTGTGTGTGTACATACACACACACACACACACACACATAATGAAAAGCATCTGGCATCCCTTAATTTGTAACTCATCATAAATTATGATGAACTAGCATGTGCTAAAATTAATATGTTGAGGACAGGCACGTTCAGCTTTTACTTCTGTCCTCTTGGATTTCGAAAGCTCTTTTCGTTCAGTGACCATGTTAGCAAATCTTATTTGTGAAATACTAACATCAATTGAGCAGTTGTTAGCATATGTTTTTACATAAACATCTTTAAAATAAATGTGGAATGTTATTACAAATAGGGAATGTTCTAGCCTATGGATGTGATAGCTTCTAATAATAATGATAATGTAATTGACAGCAAAACATTACAAATGACTTGTGAAAGTCTGCCATATGAATTCATTCAATAAGACAGAACTACTTGAATCAGAATTATCCAATATGTTTGAACTTGAATAGATATTGTGTTTATTTTGGCAATAAGTGCTCTCCATTAATGGTCTTACTTACTTTTTAATTTATAGGAAGACTTAACCTTCACAGTTTACCTCCACTATGAATATGATGGAGTAGATGAAGTTGTGGACGAAAGGAAAGTGGTAAACATTGGCAAACCACTCATTGCTAAATTACGCATTCATCAAGGATTCGGGAAGAATAGCTGTTTCCAGCACTGTTGTGCACCTAACAGGCCTTGTTTTACCCAGTCATCCGATGCCCCGCCAGCTGTATATCATCCTTCTCGCCCAAATCATCATCCACATTCCTATGCAGGCTTTCCCCAACCAAACTCTGCTCACCCAGAAGACATTTTGCATCCAGCGATGTGCCACAGTGATATGACTCCAAATAGATTGATGGCATGGCAGACAACATGGCCATATTCATTTAGTTCAAACCAAGGCAATATGCCTGTGGAAACAACAGATGAACTGGAATCTGATTTCTCAGAAAAATTCAGACTGTCTTAACAGTAGCCATATTCTTTACATGACCATTTGTTGGTGACATTACTCAGGTAGACCCTTGCAATGCTGCTTGTGTGTTTTAGGATTTGGAAGGAGAGCACTGCTTCCAGTAGAGAACATTGGTGTGAATCCAAACTAAATTTGGTCACATGGAGTTATCCACTGAAATTAAGCTTGTCTAGACCTATCCCATAGGAAGTACAGACCTGTCTGTACTTTTAAAGATGGAAACTGGTGAAATGTATTGCTTCATTCCCAGATTTGCCCATATTGAAAGCCAGGAGTAAGAAAACTACAAGTCACATGTGGATGCAGTAACAGGAATAATTTGGTTTAGGCAGTTTGTTGCTTATCCTCAAATCTATCAATGGGCCAGTAACATTCAGAGGATAATGAGGGGTAACCGATGTTGACAGAAAGTTGATGGTGACAAATAAATGAAATGAGCCTATTTGGCATCTGCTGGTGACATTTGGAAATATGATGTTGGGAAGAGTCTTGGTCTGATCCATCTGTGTGGCTAAAATCACAATGGTAATACTCAAAGAGCAGACTTCAGAATACCAGTTATTGGGGAAGATGCCCAGGCAGATGCAGTTAGATTCATGCCATGGTGGGCTTTCCACAGAGCACCTACTTGATAGGAGCCCCGGTGGCGCAGTGGGTTAAACCCCTGTGCCGGCAGGACTGAAGACCAACAGGTCACAGGTTCGAATCCGGGGAGAGGCGGATGAGCTCCCTCTATCAGCTCCAGCTCCTCATACGGGGACATGAGAGAAGCCTCCCACAAGGATGATAAAAACATCAAATCATCTGGGCGTCTCCTGGGCAATGTCCTTGCAGACGGCCAATTCTCTCACACCAGGAACGACTTGCAGTTTCTCAAGTCACTCCTGACACGACCAAAAAAACCTACTTGATCATTATGGAAACAGAATGCTGGATTAGATCAGCATTTTGTCTGATCAGTATGTAGCCAGTATTTCTGGAAATTTTAGCACCTTCTCATAGTAAAAGGTAAAGGTTTCCCCCTGACATCTAGTCATGTCTGAATCTGGGGGGTGGTGCTCATCTCCTTTTCTAAGCTGAAAAGCCGGCATTGTTCCTAGATGCCTCCAAGGTCATATGACTAGCATGACTGCATGGAGTGCCGTTACCTTCCTGCCAGAGGAATACCTATTGATCTACTCACATTTGCATGTTTTCAAACTGCTAGGTTGGCAGAAGCTGGGACTAACAGTGGGAGCTCACCTCACTCTGACCACTGACCTTTCAGTCAGCAAGTTCAGCAGCTCAGTGGTTTAACCCACTGCGCCACCAGGGTCTCCTAATGGACACAAAAAACCCATGACAGTTTTATGAGGATTTTTCTAACCAATTAGTAATGTAGCACAAGACCAACATTACCATTTATAAGACAGAAAGGACAGGTACTTTTGTTTGCCTTTAGAAGCTGTTTCATTAGCTAGCAAAAGTGATAACATTATACGAATAATACTCATCTAACCTTCGTAATTTTTTTTAAAAAAACCAACATTCCTTTCTTACATGTAATAGCAACCTTTTGTAACTATCAGGCTTTCGGTTTGTTAAGTTTAGATTGCTGTTGGCATCTTGTACAGAGAGATGGGTCAGTTCATCAGAAACCAGCCATGAAAAATGCTTCTGGATCTTTGCATTAAATTTTATGCTTGCTGAGAGAGAAATGTAAAAAAAATGGAATACAGAGGCATTACTGCATTTAATAGTAGGGAACCCGCTGGCAAGTGATTGGGAAGGCCAAGAAAGCTAGAGAATCATTGGGACCTTGAGGCAAGAGGAGAACAAATTGTTGAGGATGAGGAGCACAACCATAAATACTTTGGAAGGAAATGGACAATGCATTGTTTATATCTCTTACTTAAAGTGGCTATGAGGAACAGCTTTGCTCCTGCTGTAAACAGGCACATGAAGGAGTAGAGTGCATGATCGACAAAATATGTGCCAGGATCTATACCAATGGTTCTCAACCTGTGGGTCCCCAGATATTTTGGCCTTCAGCTCCCAGAAATTTTGACAGCTGGTAAACTGGCTGGGATTTCTGGGAGTTGTAGGCCAAAACACCTGGGGACCCACAGGTTGAGAACCACTGATCTAGACCTTCAGAAATATTCTTTATTTTATTTATTGCATTTGTATTCCATCTTTCTCTCAACTTGGGACCCAAGGCAGCTTACAAACAATAAAACAACATAAGCTTCCCTAGTCATAACATGAACCATACAAAATAATGTTTAAACTTAGTAAAGTTAAAATTAGAGTACACAGTACTCTAAGGGGACTTCTGTATGTAATTATTCATTCAAAGGCTATTTGAACAAGAATGTAATACATTTGAATGAGTATCCAGTATCCAGTCTACATCTAGTACGGGTTGAGTTTCCATTATCTGGAAATCCGAAATACTCCAAACCCCAAAACATTTTGTTGCCCATTGGCAACCATCTATATCTAGCTCAGAGGTGGGAAACATGTGGAGAGGCAGAGGAAGGATTTTCTCTTCTTGCTTTGCTAAAAAAGCGGAAGTGTAAGTGGCAGCAAAGAAGAAAAATCTATCCTTGAGGAAAACCCAGGGGACACAGGAGGTGTGACTAGCCCCCCTTCACACCATTCCTCATTTATGATGTCTGTGCAAATATGGGTATTCCAAAATCCAAAATAAACCTCTGATCCCAAGCATTTTGGAGAAGGGAACCTCAACATGTATTTTATTTGTGAGTCTACATCCACTATATTGTTTTTGTCTGTTTCAATTTATTAGCTATATGTATTTTCCAAGAAGTAATGCATAAAATGCCTACTACATAGCTGGCATTTTCAAAAGCTACCACATAATGGCTTTGTAACATTTGGTGCAGGCTATTTATGACATACTTGCTTTAAGTGCCAACGAACAGCTCTGAACTTCCATCTGTGGTTCAAGACTTCTTTAAGAGATGCTCCAATTGCCATGGTAACAGTTGTCTTGGCAAACATTGCCACTTGGAAAACCCTTTTGGCTTCTCCTTCAGTGTCAGAGATGGGGGCATTGTCTGGCATGGCTGGTGACGGAAGCCAAAAGATGGCTTTAATCAAAAACCTTGGAACAGAAATCCCATTGGTTTCAATGGACTGGAAAAGTTTTGGTTCCTTTGTTTTTGTTTTAAAGCTCAAAAGGGAAAGTGCAAAAATTGATTTCACTCAAGTACTCACTGATGCAGGCCCGTAGCAAGGATTTTGATTCGGGGGGGGGGGGGGGGGAGGGGGGCTGAGTATGAGTGAAAGAGGGTCTACCCTAGCAAACCTTTTGTATCGTTACCCCAATACCCCCATGCATATGGGATATATTGAGTATGGTGATCAGATCATGATATGAATAAACATAACAGTTTAAATAATGCACCAGTAAGGCCTTTTCGCGAACCACCATGAGAATTTCGTGGGGGGGGGGGCTGAAGCCCCTCAAGCCCCCCCCCCCCCCGCTACATGCCTGCACTGATGTGACCCCTAATATCCATGGAGATGTGTTCCCAGAGTTTATGTGGATATGTGAAATCACACAGAATAGCGAATTCTGTTACTTTCTACAGGACGAACAACAGAGTTATGGAGAAGAGAATGCAAAAGGGTCCCTAAATGAATAACTGATAAATGAAACAAGGAAAGTCAAACCATGTATATCGGTTCTCCATATACAAGAAACACCATGCCATTACTTTTTAACATTTCTGGCTACAATTTTATATCTAAAAGACAGGAAACACTGTTTTCAGACACAAGAGTATCAGTGTGGTTGTTATTATGAGCATCCCTAAAACTTTCCACTAGAGAGCACTCGTTGCACATTTGTTATTCTAAAAAGAAAATACATTTTTATAGGAGCCTGCAAAGGCAAGGACATGCCATGAGTTTGGAACTATAGCATAAAACTATTTTCTAAATACACATTTTCAAATATATTTCCTTATGCCTATTTAAAGCAAAACTACACTGCAAAGTTTGGGAAAATGGGAGAATCTGAAAGAAAACATTTTTTCCCATCCCCATAGATCATTTTGCACATCAGAAACTTTCCCAATGTCCTGGTTTCTTACTTTTAATTAGAATATTGTATTTAACCAAGACTTTTATACCTTTTCAATCCAACGTACTGTGCCGTTCATAGCATTCTTAGAAAGGGATGATTCTCTGCTGCTATTGTTATTTTCTTCATGATATTTTTCTAAAAGAAATCCATGTTTTGCAACACCCCTAAAACTAAGATAGACACATCAACCAAGTTTCTAGTAAATACAACCCCTCCCCTCCCCCAAATTGTCTGATTTGCTTCAAGCCTGTGTCAAAGGTTTGCAGTTGTTTTACAACAAATTTTGTGGATATAGTGAAACAATTGCACAGGTTTAGAAGGGCTTCCAAATTTGGGGGTTCATAGTTAACAAAGCTTACTATAAGCTTTCCTAAATAGAAATGCCTTTCTAACATTTAGGTGGTGTCATTTATTCTGGCTCACAGTGATTCTCCCTGGTGGGCTTTACTAACACTTCTGGAACAACAAGGAACTGAATCTGGGAAATGTATTGTTGAAGGCTTTCATGGCTGGAATCACTGAGTTGCTGTAGGTTTTTCGGGCTGTATGGCCATGTTTTAGAAGCATCAGGAGAGACTGCTTCTAGAGCATGGCCATGCAGCCTGAAAAACCGACAACAACCCACTGAACCTGGGAACTTTAACAACCTAAATACACACTATACAACTGGGGTCACACTGTTTCTCGTCACTAGACCATTTGTCAGAACTATGGTCAAATAAACAAAATTAGAAGGGTACAGGAAACAGTTTTTGGAATGCACCACTTTAAATTGCAGCTACATGGGGTTCCCAAAGGTTACAAAGGTTAAAAATAATCCTGAACCCCATGTTCTTTGTTTCTGTATATAAGCTAGCTAGTGTGTTTAGCAGCATACACTGTTGAAGACTTTGCTTAATTTGACCGATGAAGGAAGAAGAGATAAGCAGATGAAAATTGAGAGTTCTAAACAGATGCCCTATTCTTTGTGGATGCACTACAGAAATTGGCAAAATTACGTTTTTAGCCCCCATAAACTCCCAGCTAGCAAATTCTTTGGCTTCACTGTCCAGAAAACTCTGATATTCACCACCCTGCTCTTGCCTTATCAAATAATGTTTGCTGTCTAGGCCTCTATAAGTGTGGGGAAATAGAGGCTATTATATATTTTAATTTTTTTCACTTGATGAGCTTTATGTTACAGCCATGTTATTCTTAGTGTGAAAAGAAGTTACATGCTTAATTAATTTTTACAAAGGTGATGCTCATTTAGGGGAAAATATATAATAGGGATGCATAAATGCATCTTTGTCTCTGTAATTTCTTTGTCAATACAATCTGGTACTGGAGTGGATACGTGCAGCGAGTGTGCTTTCCAGAAGTATCTGATGGGAGGCTGAGTGAAACAGGATA